AAAAAAAACCAAAAAAAAACCCAGAAAATAATAGAAAAGAGGCACTGAGAATCTTAAAGTTCCCTTCATAGAAAAAGCATATGTGGGAGCCAAACTCACAAAGATAACTTCCTTTTTCCAATCAAATAACTCCCAAACTCTCAGTTCTCACAGCTATGGATAAATGCAGAGGGGTTCTGGCTATCTCAGGGCTTTCATTCCTGAGTCACCTTAAACATACACAGGAATAAAAGGAAATTCCAACACCAATACCCACCAGATGTCAGGAGCACTTAGCCCCAGTTTCCCAGCAATTTCAATACAAAACAATAAACCAGAAAAGAGCTTTATGTGAGTGGAGTACTACTTGTGGCAAAGCATACAGAAACCTGCACATTCAAGTACTCTTTCTGAGACAAATATCAGAATGACTACACCTGAAAACACATTCATTTTTTCCATCCTTACATTTTGCTTAAAGAACACATAGTGACTAAGGAGCACATTTTTCTTACAGATAATATTTTATATTTACTCACTATAATGGTTTAGCACTTGTACTTACACTTTATCACTGGCACCCGTGTATGATCCCACTTAAAGATGACCCTGAAAACTGGACTTGTACTGCCCATAACTCAACAATCAGTGCAGATAAGACAAGCAACATTTAACACCGTGCCATTATAAGAGTTCACAAATTTATCCTGCCTGACCCATGGTGGCTGCAGTTTCAGTCATTGACTTAATTAAGAGACACAGATGTTTTGGTTTTGCTGCTTTCCTTGCTCACAGATTAACTGAGTCTCTGCATCTGCTGTCTCCTTCACTTACTGGATCATCCTTTGCCTTTTCCTTTAGATTTTGTGTTTTGCTAGCCTTTCAACAGTGACCTCTTACCACTGATTCCACTTCTTATCAAACCTGAGCTAGTCTAGTTTATGTTCTCTCATCAGTTCTGACCACCATCACCTCTTCCTACACATTTCTAAAATCTGCTGTGGAAGAGATAATAAACGATGCCTGTTACTCAGCTGAAGTTCAAAGCCTGTGAAAATACGAGTTATCTATGTGCCTTTGCTCTTCTTATAAATTAGTAATGAGTCTGGAATGCTTCCCCACGGCAATTAAGACTCATTCAGTTAAAATTACTGTATTCTGTCATCTAGATTTTGCTCCAAAAAAAGTTACATATTTTCTATTAACATCACTACTGAAAACGGTACAAATACCTCCAGCATTTCAAAAGGCACAGCCAAAAAATGCTTCTCATCCTCACCATTTTACTCAGCTTGTTAGGGTGAGTTACAGCCACAAGGGTTCAGGTAGAGAGAAACAACATTCAGAACGAGATAAAAGAAAGGGTTTCAGTGCACCAGAATGCACATATTCTAATAATCATTATGACCTCTGTTAGAAGCAAAGGATGGGATGTTTTTGTGTTGTTGTTGAGGAGATACTGAAGAAGAAGGTGAAGAGAGAATAAAACTGTCACCACAACCTGTACCACAGAAATGTCCAACATGTCAAAAACATTGCAAATAGATTTGGTCTGGAAGCTATCTTGTAACATTTATTCATTTATTAAGCTGAGAAAATCAAGTCTTCATCATATCAACTTGATAACTGAAACATTCAGTTCATTATGAAGAATTTTAGATGTTCCCTGACTATCATTTCTCTTCAAAACACTGCAGCTGGATGAAAAGCATAAGGAAGGAGGTTTGCACTCTCTGCTCATACAACTCTTGACTCTCCTGGTTTACAGATTTGAAGCAGTGCTGTAGAACAGGCTGCCAAAAGTACTTCTCAATCCATCTCTTTTTACAACACTGCATTGCACAGAGCACACGCCAGAGATCCTCAAACATTACCTTCATAGAGAACTTCATACTCAGTGGGGATACAGCTGTACCCCTGAATCAGATCTGGAAGACAGTCCTTGCAGAAGGAGTGGAGACAGGGCAGCATTCTGGGGTCCCTCCTCCTCAGGTCCCATCTGCACACCAAACAATTCCTCAGCACATCCAGGGGCTCCATTTCTGCTGGCTGACATCTGAACACACGAAGAGTCACAAAATGGCTCATGACAAGCCCTGCCCTTCACAAAACACTTGAATACTCAAGCACAAACCAGAAGGCAACATGGGATGCATGATCAAACAACATTCATTTAGCCCTTGTGAAAAAAAAGAAGTTCCTTGCAGCTGAAAATCACATACCTGCTTTACAGAGGAGACTATCTTTGCAGATTGTTGTGCAGGAAAGTGTGGTTTAAGGTTACAAACCATGATCCCATTATCTCTCTAGTATTTGCAACTTCTGTAAAAACTGAACTAATCTGTTCTATTGATCTACTTACAAAGCTGAATTGTCACACGCTTTACATTTCCTGCTAGAAGCACTGAAACTGTGCAATAAAAATGATGAGATTCTTTTATTGCTTTTATAATTTCATTCAAATATTTCAGTTTTCAGGTAAAGAAAATAATACTCATATGTTCATTGTTTCAACATATTAGAAAGATGTCCTGAAAAATGTACAGCTTCTTCTGGCAATCTTTATAGAAAACTCACTCTGCAGTAATCAAATTTTAGCTATCAAGATGACCACAGATCAGATTATAGAGCAAACCTGAGGGTTCCTCCCACCAGTTTAACCTCCCCACGATCAACTGAGAGTTTTGCCCTTCATGTTTCATCCTCAGCTCTGAGATTGTGCATGCTTTTGATCAGATACAACCTGCAAAGGGCAACTTGGGCAAGTGGTATCAGAGGAGAAAAAGCAAATAAAGCCTCATGTCCTCTGGAGACACTCTTTTCCAGCTGATGCAACCCCCTGGGACCAGAGTCCCATGCAGCTGCCAATTGCCCTTCATGGTGGTGGCCCTGCTACCAGCAGTGTGCAATTGAAGCTGCAGTCTCCAGACTTCCCCAGCACAAAAGAGCAGCGGCTTTCATCTTGGGGCTATCTACTCTCCTGAGGGATTCTGTCTTCTGGAAGATTCCAGAGGAAATGGTTAGCAAGCAGCACCAGGTTTGGGTTTTTATTCTGCAATGCAAAAAAAATTATGAATGTCTCAGAAATTAATGATCAGTAGTTTTTCAAGTGTTGTATCCTGAAGTCATCAGTATTTTAAATATTTTAGAAGAAAAAAAATGGATTCTATGTTAAATTCTGTATCCTATTCCATACTCAAGGCCCATTTTACTGGGTAGATATCCACCAACCTGGAAAAATTACTTAAGACAAATTCAAACCTATCACTAAAACTTCAGATTCTCATTCCAAAGCCAGAGGTCCCTTTAGAAATGAGCTGTGCCAATGGTACCTTCGGTTTAACTAACATTATACAGGTGCTTATTACATGAGTTTATTTTGTATAGTGTATCTTCATCAACCATCCAGCAGAGGCAATTGTCACTAGAGCAGCACAGCCTCTCAGCTCACTCCATCTCTGTCATCTTGCAGCTCCTGTTGCTAAGAAGACAAAGTAGCAACTACAAAAACATGTAGTTTCTGCAGTAGGAAGTTGAGGTCTTAAGCTACCGCACTGTTGACACAGAGAAACCACAGCCCAAAAGCATCCATGCACAGAGAATCAGGGCAAACAAAGCCTGATACTGGGAAATGCTCCGTCACCTTAAAACCCAAATCTATGGCTGCCACGGCATGTGCTACTGCATATTTCATTTCATGCCTCTTGCACAACATATAAAACTGTGCAAAAGTTTTTGCGTAGGAAAGGGGAGAACGAGAGTGATCAAAAGTGTTTAAAATTTTGTTCTGAGGTAGGCATGCAAAGTAGTTGTCAGAGGAGGAGAGAGGCTGATGTATATAATGAGCTACAAGATGGCCCGGAAAGAGAATCCAGGGAATTACAGGCCTGACCTTGGTAATGGGGAAGGTCATCTTTAGCACCATCGAGTGGCACTTGCGCAATAACCAGGGCATCATTGATGGGATGAGGACACGTCTGCAGGAGGTTCAACAAGGGCAAGTGCAGGGTCCTGTCCCTGGGTCACAACAACCCCATGGTGCACCACAGGCTGGGAGCAGAGTGAATGAAAAGCTGCCCAGTGTAAGAGGACCTGGGGGTGCTGCAACACAGGCTGAACATGAGCCGGTGTGTGCAGGTGGCCAATGGCATCCTGGCCTGTATTACAAATACTAGGGCCAGCAGGACCAGGGCAGCTGAGGTCTTGGGAAGGCAACAGCAGTCCCAACACAAGTCGGAGGGAACCATCTAGGTACCACACCACTGGAATTTCCAGCAAAGTGATAATGGATTTCAAAGAAACCTTTGTAACTATATCCTCTTGTAACACTGTAACTTCTGTATTTTAGGGATAAACTCTCTGGGCAAGTCTTTAAATTTCCTGTGATCATTTTTCTTATTGAATCACTTAGAGAGCAGAGCTGGTGGGGTGGGCACACCTCTCACAAAGAACATTCTGCACAAATGTGGAAGATTACTCAAGACATCACATTAGGAAAAAGCAGTCCCAGCAGCCAATGAAAGACAGTCCCCACACTCTCACCTCTGTATTGTGGAACAAACTGTCTATTAGTTTTAGTTGCTCACAAGTAGCAGTACCATTGGCTAAGATGAACTATTTCATAAATGGAATGCATGTCAACCTCATCCTAAAAGCCTTCCAAATTTAATTATTGCCAAACACTAGGTTAGAAGTTTATTAAGTAGGATTGTACGACATGTACTAGAAGATAATTTGCAACTATTAGCTATAATTCAAGACTTCAGCAGTGGGCATAAAATAAGTGACAATGTTCGTAGGCTTTTGATCTGACACCTAAGAACCAGCTGACTAGCTTTAGTAAACAATGTCTGGACAAGTCAGGAAAAAAAAAGTCAAAACAAACAAGACTTCTGTAAATCAGCTCTTTTACGCATTGTGTTTATTCAAAAAAACTTGAATAAAACAAACTTTTATGCCACAAGCACACAGGCACCACCAACTTCTTTGATCTTCTCCTCTGCTCTTCTACTGAAGAACTTTGCTTTCACGATGACAGGCTGCTTTGGCAGCTTCCCCTTGCCCAGCACTTTGTAGTAGCCCTAGAAAGATTCAAAAAAGAAGATCATTGTCTGTAATCAGCTTGCAGGCCCCTACATTCAGGCCTCTCTTCTAGCACACACCAGTTAAAAACAAAAACCATGACGAACATGGCCTTATCCAGTCAATTCATTACATGAAAGGACCATCATAAGACCATTAATATTACAGCTGCTGAAGTCACTGCTGGTTAGAAGTGGGGCTAAAGCGGCCAACACAGGTGTTCAATTTGGGAGGCAGAACAAAAGCAGCTGGCAGAGCAGTGTCCCTGATTCGGTGACTGGCTGAGATACAGGACATCACAGCCAGTGAATATGGATCAGATGTTTCTGTCCGAGAACTATAGCACACCAAGACAACAATACATGTGGAGATGTGACTCTAGTCTCGAGGGTGGACAAGTGGCATTATGTGAGGCTAGTTCTGCTGTGGTTTTGTACACACCTTCAGGAACATTGCAGACAAGGCATCTTTCACTGCCGACCTAAAGGAAGGCCTGTCCACAATCACACACCAGTAGGAGAAAAAATTCTTATACAAAAAAAATGTAACAGCCTAAGTGACTCTAAAAACTTACAGCCCTAGAGATATGTGTTGAGAACCTCTGAACACTGAAACACTGGAGCTTATTTGCAATTCACCACTCCCCCAGTGGGACACGCAAAGCTCAGTCACACACGAGAGCAGGAGTGCCAGTATTGAGTCCAAGCAAGAACCTACCGAGCGCACAACATCAATGACCGGGGCCAGTCCGGCCTCGTTCTTGGCGTAGTTGAGCCTGGTCTGCTCACTGACCAATGTCCACAGCTTGTCCAGGTTGACAGTGGGACAGAACTTCTGGTTTCTCTTCAAGTGATAATGTCTCATGCCTACTTTTCCAAAGTAACCAGGGTGACTGTGAAGAAACACATTCTGCATTAGATCACATTTTTAATCCATCCTGAACAAGCAGAACTACAAATTGACACTGGAACAAGCATCTTTCGTGATTAAAGTTATTAAAATGTAACATTATACCTTTTCAAATATTAATACATGTAGAATTTAGATGCAGTAACAATTAGTATCCAAACCAATAAAAAATTACTTTTCAAGTGTTTTTCCTCCCTTGAACTCACAACTCAATCCTCCTCTTCAGTGAGTCTGTATTTTCAGGGCAACCCCAACTCCATGAAGCCAGGGAGGGCTGCCCTGCCTGGGGAGCTTTGGCACTGCTGTCACTAACCCGGTGACTGACTGAGTCAGGAATGGCACAGCCAGTGAATAGAGATTAGTGGTTGCTGTCCGAGGACTCTAGCACACCAGGACCACATGCAGAGCCCAGATGTGACTCTATAGTCTCGGGAATCACAACATCCCTCATCTCGACAGGATGCAGTTTAGATTTAACACCACATTCTCAACTTGATGTGAGTGCACTGTAAACAGGGACCATATAACGGACAAATTTGGCCAAGTTTACCTAATGCTGCACTGAACTCTGCAAGATGCCAAATGAAAAGGCCTTTGATTTTAGAGTAAGTGGGGACATGAGTAGCTCTAATGCTACACTTCACATTTGAGGAAAAAACACATAGGATTGCAGCAAATTTTGTTTATTCACATATAACAGTAAGTTCCTTCTACTTCAAGAACATACATGTTGCTAGTATGTATTTAAAATGTTAGCTTACTATTTATCGAAGTTAATCCTGTGATGGTGCAAACCACCAGCATTACCACGTCCTCCAGGATGCTTCCTGTGTTTGCCTGAGAAGAAAAATTTTACATTCATTACATTAATATCACACATATTACTTGAACTTAGGAGACACACTCAATGCCACTTTCAACTAATTAAACTAATTATTCTATCTTGTGATGTGACAACGTAGGAATGAATAGAGTTAGAAGGGAGACCGTGCTGCCCTGTAAGTTTAAGATGTCCCATACCCAGCAGTGATCGGCCTTCAGCCCTGCTTGCTACGTCCCCTAGTGCCAGCAGGCTGGGCACCCAGAGCCCGGTTTTTGCGGGAGTCGACACCAACACCAGCATCCCATCAGTGCCGGGAAGGCCCCGGCGGGGCCGCGCCGCCGAAGCGCCCCAGCCCACCCGCGGCCTCCTCTCCACTCACCCACGCGGCCGTGGCCGTGACTGACGTGTCCTCTCAGCTTGCGGGTCTTCCTTAGCCTGGAAGGCTGCGGGGAAGGGGCAAATCAGCCGTGAGCGAGACGGGCAGCGAGAGGCAGAAGAGCCCCGCGCCTGCCCCGCAGCCGGGCGCCATGGCGGAGCGGCCTCCTCGCACCGCTCCCGCCCGCCGCGGGCCCGGAGACGCCCCTCCCCACCACCCTCCGCTACTCCGCAGTCCTGTCCCGCCGCGGAAACGAGGGGCGACGGCCGCGGGCTCCCGATCCCATCCCAACCCATCCCCTTCCATCCCGGCCCGGAGGCAGCTCCCACCATCTTGCCGGCGTGCGCGAGGGAGAGAAAGGGCGGGGCTCTCGCGAGAGCGAGGAAAGGCGCGAGAGGCGCGGGGCGGGGCCGAGATCTCGCGAGGCTTCGCTGAGGCGGGAGGGGCGGGGCGGAGCTCTGAGGGGCCGGGGCGGTGCACGCTCCGCCCTCAGCCGGACACGGCTCCCCGTTTCCTCCCGCCAAGGAAAAGAAGGATTTTCACAATTTAGGAAAATTTGTTAGTTGGGTCACTTTATTAAATATCCATAAAAATGGGAAAATGAACACTTTGTCTTTAAACACAATTATTTACCACACTGGAGAGTGAATTCCTGGAGTGTTACTGTTTTTTAAGCTTGGTTTCTAGGGAGGGTTTTTTATGCATCTTATACTGTAAGATTTTAAACAAATCTTTATTTTTGAAATTGATAGACCTCAGCACTGGATCTTTTTTTCTTCGGGAGTTCTTTGGTGCATTCCTCCATGCTCAGAAACACCACTAGTTTTAACAACTAATTTAGTAGGGAAATAATGCACTCCTTGGTTTTTGTTAATCTGATCTTTTCAAACACAAATCTCCAGATAACACATGGATTGTTTTACACAGCTGTAGTCTGAGGATCACGAAGGCACCTACAGATTTTTGGGGACGTGATTTCACCTTGGCCAGCAGTATCCTCTGATTCACGTTACAAAAGTGGGAACACGTTGACAGATAACACAACGTTTAAAAGCTTTCTCCTTTAAAATTTTAAAGTGCAAATGGAGGAAAGCAGCTTTGGTGAAGGAGATGGGTTTTACAGCACCACATTCTTGCACATCAGCATTCTGTGGCTTTATCTCGCCTTTGCAGTAACTTCACAGCACGTCTGATAGTTTTATCCATCATTTGAAGAGAAAAATGTACTTCCCCGTACTAGCAGCTGTGGTTTACAAAAAGACCAGAAGTCACCTGTACAAGTGACATTATTCCTTCCACTGTGAAGAATTACATCGAGGAGTCATTCTGAAACTTAGAGCATATTACAGAGTAAAACTAATGGAAGTTATCAGTTGTGATACCATTTCCCCTGAATCAAAAGCACCCAGTATTTTACAGCCATTTGATATATACCTAAGAAACTTTTGTATATTCTGGAGTGTGAGGGAGGTAATTAAAAAAGGAAACTACTTCACCTTTTTAGTGAATAGTCCCTCGAATTTGCTCTATGAGGCTGATAGCAAACCAGAACCACTGTCAGGTTAGGAACTGCGCAAGCCTCAAAGTCGATTTAACCACAGCAATTGTGCTGCAGATGATGAAAAACAGAGCGTGGTGTCTTTCCTTTAAAGGTAAGAAGCTTTAGCTAATTTTCATTATCTGTCAGACTTGCAACATACTCAAGCACTTTATATTTTCTTCTTTAGACTATGGGAAAACTCACAGAACCTCAACAGGAGTTCTGTTCCCACAGCAGGGATGAATTGAGCACCATGCACAGCACAAAACCAACCTGAAAATACCAAAGTTTAGGAGCAGTATCTATGATACAATGATAAAATAATTTGCTGCTAACCCATGAAAAGAAATGTTTTAACAGATGCTTGTGTTAGGATGAAGTTTTTTAAAAAGGGATATAAAGTGCCTTGTCTTAACCCCAGTAAAAGCATTGAAGAAACCCCAAACTACATGTCATGAAATACCAAACCTACCAAAAGACAGGCTTGTAATAACCATTTAATATTTTAATTACAAATTCATTTTAAAATCACAGGCAAGTTGCTGGGTTTGTACCTGCTCCACGTGAGGAACTGCAGAGGTTTGCAATGAATATAAACAAACAGGTCTATTTACAGAGTTTATTAGGAACCATACATACATACATTAGGAAAGGCTGTACTGTACCTACTCACTGCAGCTTGCATGTCAGAGAGCTGAGATCCCCCCAGGCTTAGCAGTCTTAGTGCAGAATGGGTTACAAGTTTACTGACCAGAGTTCAAACCAATGGAGGTTTTGTATTGTGAACCAAGTACCTTACTATCGAGTTACTTCGATATTTTTTCTTTTATAATTAATTACAAGATAAAAAAACAAATACCTGTCCCGCACGAGAGCGACCCCGTGTGTACAACCTCTCCCACGTACCCCAGCTCATTCACCCTGCAGTGTTCAGGCATCAAACATCCCTTGAAGTCAGTGGTTCTGCTGAGACAGTCAGCTGCACATAATAAGCTACTCATTTTTGCACCAAGCATAACTCAATTCATACTAAAGAAAAAACAAGCACCTGTTATTCTCAGGAATATACAAATATTTACCACAGTTTTCTTGCCCATTACAAAATCAGTTACAAAAGCTTACAGCACATTATGTACAAATTCTACCCAAATCCATCGAGGAGCTATCACGTGGCACACTAACAACATCAGTCATTGCCTGGAGCTGCCATCAGCTCACTCYGCACTCCTCCCGCTCCACACTCTGGAACGCCGCAGGGGTCTCGCACAGTGCCATAAATAGTCTTTGGGTTGGTGCTTCAGCAGGAAGGAGCTAGTTCTTCTTGTGAAGAAACTTCATTTTGTTACCTAAAGGAAGCACACCGTCAGCCTTTAGCAGATACCAAAAGTCAGTCAAGTGACAGCAAATGGGTCTACCTTCTGATGTAACTGCTGGAGTAACTCTACTCAGCACCAGCAGGGAGGGCTGAGTTACAGAACACTGACTGCTCAAACACCTTCCTGTTCCACTTCTCGCTTATGATTTGGTTCCCCCATTGCCAAGTGAAAATGAAAGTGTTAACAAGGATCGTAATTAAACCTGGTTTCATCACTTTTAATGTGTTTTCATTGTTTTCCTTTTTGTATTTTTATCACCTTTAACTCTGTTTTCATTGTTTTCCTTTTTGTATTTCCTATCACCCTGAAACTGCCTGACTACCTCATTTCACCTCAGATAAGGCTATTTTAAATTAAATTTAAAAAAAAAAAAAAAAAAAAAAAAAAAAAAAAAAAAAAAAAAAAAAAAAAAGAAAAAAGAAAAAAATCCCCATCACCATAAACTTATGTCAGAAACGCTTCTAAAGGTTTTCCTCACCAAGGCCTCGCAAGAACTTGTTTACTCCACTTTGTTCAGTGTCCGGGAGCTCTTCCAAATACTGTTCCACTCTCTGCTCGAAGAGCCCTGTGACAGAGGAAGACAAGGATGCAGGGGTGAGCTGTGCCCAGCTGATCCCGCATCCCCGGGCACGGACCCGACGCGGAGCTGTACCGCCGGCAGCCGCGGCTCCCAGTCACCTTCCGGTTAACCGCCCAGCATGTTAGGGATGCGTTTCCGCTTTCCCGGCGAGCGCAGGAGGATGGACATTGCCGCTAACCTCGGGACCCGACCGGAACAGCGAACTCCGCACCGCAGGGGAGACACCCACCCTTACCTTTTGCCCTGCATTTCCTCAGCTCTCTGTCCTGGATGAAGCCAGCGAACATTTGGGATTCCATGAAAACTTCCAAGAAGCGGCGAATACTCTTGGAGGCCACAGATTTACGGAAAGCCTCCCTTTGGAAGGCACGCTCTCCTTTTTCATTCTGGGTTAGGAACAGGGAATAATGGCCAACTGTCTCCACAAAGAATCGGATAAAAACCTCAGACACTAATCCATTCAGGGTGTTACATTCTGCAAAATAAGGCGGCAATAAGACACCAAAATCAGCTGCTACCAGAGCTGTCAGCATTATCCCCACAGGGCTACGCTGTGCATCTCCCGGTTCCCTGATGCCGTGCTGTCAATTGACGGGAGTTGCAGCGGCTCCCTGCACGCCTATGGATGCACATGGACAAGGTGACAGCGCCATAACCACGAGTGCCAGTCTGCGGAGTTGGTGTTAGGTGACCAAGAGTCAATGAGAATTACAAAACCTCAGGAAACAGCTCAGAAAATTAAACATTGATGCGTGTTTCATCAAAATTATACCTCCTRTTTTCACTCTTGAGCAAGTTCTCTTCAGAAACTTCGAATGACTCAGTGCTAAAATATTTTCCCCTGAGGATAATAAGCCTGTACCAAGAACTGATCAAAAAGGGTCTGTTGCAGGAGTTGGGTTTTCATCGGTCCCTGAGATGTTAGAACAATTTTTTGTACGTAATACATGTGACTAGAAATAAATTTAAAAAATTGAATAGGGGCCTTTCATACCTTTTAACCACAGGCATTTCAATTTACCTTGGGCTGTTTTTATCATTGCTGAAGTGAAATATGAACCTTCAGAGGCAACTCAACCCATCTTGCACCAAAACTTTTCTGGTGGTACCTGCTTTTCCCCTCAAAATACCAAGTGCCAAGAGCAACTCTGAACTCAGAGTTGCTGAGTTCAGCACACCCCTAAGCCTGGAGAATTATCTGCATTGAGTTAGGGCCAAGTTAACTGCAAACCTTTGCTTGAGCAAAGGTTCAGAGGGATTCTCGGGGTCCATGTCATTTACAAAGAAATTAAAATAAATCATGGGTGAGGTACTACTGTGGATTGATGCCATTACTCTCATTCCCTGTGTGCTCAGAGACAACTTTTGATATTACCAAAGGTATTTGGGACCTCAAGTCCCATCTTCCTTTCTCCTGTGTAGAAAGTCACAATTCTACCTACATTTGTTTACACAAGTCCCTGTTTCCAAATGAACTTACCATCATCTGAATCACTATCTGAATCTTGATTTATCAGTTCATTTTTTCTCTCTAGAGCCTGCTCCAGAGCAGCTTGCAATTTTCTAGGTAATAGTGTGTCTTCATCATCCATCTGATAGAAGAAAAAAGAAAATCTTTAAGCCACATTAATCTATGCAGGAGCTATAGCAAATACATTCAGAAGGTTTAAAATTCAGACAAATTTTTTATCTGCTACTGTCATGTCTATATAAATAAAATAATGGAGATCTATGTGCAACTAAAAAATGCTTCTAAACAAAATTTCTTGTCACTCCTTACAAGATTAAAATCAGGAATGATAACCCAAAAAGCAGGTAAAACAGAAATGTGGAATCAGCKCTTTACATGACAAAGAACCCAAATAGTTGTGTTTAAGTAAATACACGTCATGTGAAACCTTGCCAGGTGTACACAGCTGCAATAGTTGGTTTTAGGCAGCTCCTTTGGTCCCTGACAGTTGTTTTTACTTTCTGTAGTATATCTTGTTTTCTGGGTCTTCCCAGAAAGCCTTCTTGTTGCTCTCTTCATTTTATTTAATGCTTCTTCAGGAGAAGCGAGTAGGCACAGGGGCTTTAGCTCTGCAGCCACTGTTCACCAGCCATATTATACAGGGAACTGTACACAAGTTTCCTCACCCAACCTGCAGATTGTTGTTTTGGAATTGTTTATTACCACATGATTTTCAGGAGATGATGAGCCCTCATCTCCCTCTTTACAAGGCTCCTGCTTTTCCTATCACAATAAACTATTCTTCACCTTTATGCTCTCACTCAGGAATTTTCTTTGCAATTTTTGTCCTTTTCACTTCCAACAGTGTGAGTTTTCTTGCAAAGGTGATGTTAGCTTTGGATGTTTTCTTTCAACTGTGAATACAGTTCTTGATTCCTTCCAACAGTCACAGCCTCAATCCTGTCTGCATACCTGAGAAGTTCTTATTTGCAGGTGGAACAGAAAATGGGAACTTTTTCTTCCCCTAATCGCTTTCACTTTGCACACACAATTCCTGCCAAATCTCTCTGATCAAAGAAACCTAATCATACTGTAGGAGTAAACAGCCTGCTAGACTGCATGGCAGCAATTTGAGCTGTACTTTACCTGTCTGATGAATCGATCAGATCCCAGGTTAACCATCAAAGCCTAAAGAAAAGAAAACACTGCCATGAAATATATCTGAAGAYACAGAATACATTCAGGTGTTCATTGTTTTTTAATAGCAAAGGATCATCTGAACAAGCCTCGACATGAATCAAATTCCTATTGTGAAACAAGAGGTTGTGTGCTTTATGAAACAAGAATATGAAGGCTTTCTTTAGAGCTAGAAGTCAAATTTAACATAGATACAACAGATGTTGTATTAATCTGTAAAAAAAAAAAACAAAAAAACCCAAGCCAAAAGGGTTGGGTATGTCTTTTTTCTTAAATCTATGCAAGTTATTGCTAATAATTTTTGTTAGCATATATTTGAAAAGTGCTTCAGAGGGGTTCAAAGAACAGTGTCATGGAGGCAGCAGGGCTTCTCAGGGGCAAGAGAGTGCAATATTCATGATAACAAAGCAGCAAAGCAGAGATGGAGCTGGGAAAATGTGGAAGAGCAATGTCAGGAAAGTAGAAGGATAATGGAGCAGAGATTTACATGGGCCAAAGGCACRCAAGGCCTTGAAGGCGAGCACAAGAAAAGAAAACTTCTTAGAAAAATGACAGGAAACTAATAGGAGTAAGAAATTTATTGGGAGAGCCAATAAAGTGCAACTCTCATTTGATTCCCAATATAGTATTAACAAAGTTTTAGAAGTTAAAAAAATTATTAAASGTTTTGGTTTTTGTGGTCACTACAGCTTCATGCACAGCTTCTGTTGGGATTAAGAGGTCATAGCAGATGGCTTCATCTTCTTGGTCCAGAATAAATCAGCTTATTTACACCCTACTTACTTGTGACCAGGTAAATATTCATCTGTCTCTGTCAAGGTGCCAGCTATGGAAGAGGGGCAGAACAAAAGAGAAGAGTAAAGCTACTACTGCGGTTTTGCGAAGAAGCAGTTGCCCATGAGAATCAGGCAGAGAAGAAACAAAGAGGCAGATTAAAAATTAAACACATAAGGATTTATGTGCCAATGGCAGTCCTCTCCCGGGTGAGGCCAGCTTTACTCCAGGAAAACAATCCTGGTGCCAGCTCCTACCTCCTCTACGGGCAGGTCCTTGAGTTTGGGCAGAGAGCTGGAAAGCAGTCCCACCAGGAAGGGGGTCGGGCAGCACACAATGTCAATCATGGATGAGGGCAGGACAGGAATGAAGGTGTGCTGCCAGGAGAAGGGGTACAGCAGGGCCACTACAGCGTGGGAGCAGCTCGACAGGGTGCTGGGGAGAGAGGAACAACCAGGTTAGCAGAGGCTCTTCTTGGTTCAGAATACCTTCCACCTGCTGAGAAATTCGGCCTGTTGAAATACAAATGCCCATGGGGCTGCCTCTGTCATTTCTGATTTCAGACAGCCTCAGTCCCCTTTCTACCCCTCTGTACTGTGCAGTGTGGTAGCTCACTGGAGACTTCAAGCTAAAGGTAAGAAAACAAACCTGTTTGTTTCATTATAGCACTCAGGAGATAATTAGATCTAGAAGACAACATTCATTGTTCCTAAAAGCACTCAAGAGCAGCCACTTTGAACAATGCTTAAAATCCAAAAGCAACTTCAGATCTTGGCTGTTACAAGCTTGTCAGTAGTAAAAATGCGTAATAGTAATGTTCTTAATTCAAGCACTAATGCAGGAACAAAGGAAAAGGAAAAATAAAATAAAAACTAAAAAAAACCTCTACCAAGTCAGATGCAAAAAGCCCACAACAACCAATACTTATTCCAAAAGAAATGTGGTAAAAACAACACATTTTTCAAAGATCACATATTTTGTAACAACATAATATTTTTATTATATTTTAAAGGGCTTATTAACCAACTTCAGTGATAAAGGTATTGATCCTGCTCAGCAAAATACTCTAAAATATGGGTTGATATCCCCTAAATGTTAAGGTTTGATATTAATGTGGGAAATGTCTTGTATATGTTGTCCTTCCATCTACTGATTMCCTTTTGCAGTCACATGGTTTCCAAATGTTAAAAATTAAGGAACATCATTACCAAGCGAGTCTTAGCATCAGGGAATAAAGACAGACTCTCCATATCAGAGTTTTTGAGTTTGGACTGAGTTACAACATCTGCCTCTCGCAGGCTGAGATGACAGAAATTTGGATTCAATGTGACTGAACTAATTTTCTCACATTGCAAACTTCTGCTGTGCTTAATTTAGCCACAAAGAACTATAAATAAAAACTGCAGAGCTGTTATTTCTTTAAAATGCTGGGGAGAGATACTCATTTATTCTACTGCAAGATTTGGTGCAGACTTTAGGTGGCATCAGACCTCCACCAGAATAMCCTTCATGAGCGCTTTTTACTTTAGTTGTAGATTATTCCAAGGCCAGAAGAAAGGTTTCTCCTGTTTGTTCCTGTCCATGATTAAACTTTGAAGTCTGCTGAATAAGAAAAGTGAGAATTAGAGGAGAAAGAGAGAAAAAGTTGGAGAAGAGCAAATCCTTGTCTTTTACTGCAAATAATCTGCTGCCTTGCTTTTAATTGACACTTCATTTAAAAKGTAACAATCCCAGCATGGGTTTATAACATATGTTGCCTGACACAAGGTTCTTGTAAAATGATGCATTTCTCTAATTTATTTTTTATATATAACAGGCAGTGGGGCTGCCATTGCCTCATATTTTGGTCTCAAACATCTACCATAACAAGCACAATGGTGTCTTTTGGAAGGGCTGTGGAACACGGCACAGACTCCCAGCATTTTCTCAAGATCGCTTTAATGACTCCCCGGAATTTTCATCCACCACAAATTCAGTCATCTTAGCTGAGCCACGAAAGAAATAGCCATGTTAAACTAAAGGCAGGAAGACAAACATTCTTCTGATATTCAGTGAATATTTTTTTTCTTTCTATAAAATGCTCTTTTGTAACATGTTGTTTTACATGCAGTGCTGTGACGTAAATCAGCCCCTGCATCCTCTTGTGCGTGCTATTCCCACGCCAGGGGAGGCTTCAGGCTCCCATCCAGGACCCTGGAATCTCTTCCTGAGCTTTCCTGGGAGCTGGCTGGGGCAGGGCAGCAGCAGAACACAGACAGCAGCCATGGTGGGGGTGTCCTGTGACAGCACCCAGCTCTGCTCTGCCAGCACCCCACAACAGTCACATCACTGTCCCGCCAGCACCTCAGCCCCTGCATTTTTGGACTCTGCACAGTTTCAAATTCAGACTCAGAAAATCTTCCCCTGTGGAACATCCCATTCCCATGAAATATTCTCTCCAAACTTTCAACCCCCAGAACCTCCTGCTGCCATCCATCCTGGACGCTGCATCCACAGAGGACAGTGAGAGACTCACAGTGGTCACCAAACTCCTGCTTTTACAATGTGCCTGTGTCTCTTCCCTAGCTGGAAAGATTCATATTTACAAACCTTTCACTTCAGTGTGAGGTTTTTACATTCTGTAAGGTAAAATTCAGAGATGTAAGGGAACCCCCAGCTTAAATCTCTAAAATAGAGTTCAGACCCTTCTAAAGGGATATTATTTGTGAGAAGCATGTTTAGGAAAGTAAAAAAGAAAGGCCTACCCTGGGAAACCAAGTCTGCTCCAGTTTTTCTTTTCAAAATATGCAACACACACATTATACAACTGCTCTTGTTTATGAGAATTAAGCAGTAAGGTCAGATGATTTATTTTCTTTAAGGTGTGTGAAGCACACAAAGCAAAGCAACAGAATGGTCAAAGTTAGATTTCCAAAATATTTCCACTTTTAGTACTCTAGGGCAGCTCCAGAGAGCTGCTTTGGAGAGTGGGCTTTTCCATTTGGTCTGTGCAGTTTTACAAGAATGCTGCATAACAGTCTAACTGTTGTTCTACTGGAAAACATCTTAATTTCTGTGGTTGTCATCTCGTAAAAATTATTTGGAATCTGCCAAGATTTTGGTTCTTCCTATGCCTTTTATTCACTAGATTTAAAAAATCTTCAGTGTTTGATCTTCTCCCCATGAAGGTTGTAATACAAGATTATACAAGTATATTGAGACATTTCTTAATGATAAATTTCCCTTGAAGAGATCCATTATCATGTTACAGGCAAAATATGACATTGCTTCTTTCCCACTCACAGTTGATTTATCTTTCTCTGGGCTATTTTTTTTTCCCAAATCATTTTCTCATGATAGCACACAGAACCTTTTCCTTGCTGTGTTGTTGGCTGAGGAGATGCAAGCTCAGACTAAGAGTTAAGGCACAGGCATTTCAGACATTGCTGTGACTCAGCTGAATTTTGGAGACTGCTTATGAACGTGGTTTAGGTCCATGTCAAAAAGCAAATTACTGTGACACAAACAAGAACCTTTTCACTCCTTTAGATAGGGAGGACGTCTGCTATCAATTTCTGGGTTGGCCAACCAACAAATAACCCCAAGCTTAGGCTGTATCCACACCTTTATCACAGCACAGCCAGCACACTGAGAAGGACATGCTGTTGGACCGGAACACAGTCCCCTGGCTGGAATGTCAATTCTGGCTGTGTTTGTTTCAAGGCTTTCTGCATGCTGCAAGTCACCAACTCTCTCAAACTGCTAAAGTCATGTTCGGTTACACCTACTATTCACAATGGAAATATTCCACAAATATCCTGGATAACTCTTTTCTTTGCAGCAATAGCTTCCCCCTTCCCCATCACACCTGGAATTTCTAACATACCCAAGGGAGCTTCACACACTGAGCATCTCCCAAATCCAGGATTAAGCCTCTAGCACAACCACTTGCTGACAAGGCTCCCTGATCCACCTTACTATTCACATGCACCTCCACAGTCATTTTGGTATTTCCATTGAAGGAGAAGCCAAGAATATCCCTTCCCTTCCTCCACTTCTCCCAAGGGACAGACAAGTTTCCTCAGCCAGGAGAGGAGGGAGGCCACCCCTTACATGCAGGGCCAAGACATACAGCAGTTCTGTCACGCCAGTGCTGGTGCCAGCTCTGTGCTGTGCCAGTGCTCTGGACCGTGCCCTGGACTGGGACCAACTCTCCCAATCTGGTCTCCCTGCTTCCTCAAATTGAGAAACATAGCCAAAAATGTAAATTCACAAAAAAAGTGCTTCCACTGTTTCCTCTTCCACAACCCTTTTATATTCCTCATTTATTCCTTCTGATTAAATGATGTTGCTCTGTCCACATTTGCTGAACTCTTTTATGTGCTGTGTTGACACATTCATGCTTCAGGCCACAAGCACTTTGCAAATGAGTTACCTTCCTGACACATATCCCTTCGTCTGCTTGGGAGAGTTTCCTCCCACTTGAGGCTGGAGTCTGGAGGCTCTTTCCTTCCCAGGTGCTCCCTTCACTCACACGAGTATTACACACCCAGATGACTCCTCATCACAGGCCATGGCCCAGCTTTTCTGGGACATCTCCCACCCTTGGGCCAATGATGAACTGCATAGCAAAAACACATCCCTGACACTTCCGTCCTACACCCTTCAATGCCTCTCCTGATCCTGAATTAACTYCAATCTCTGACAGAGACAGAGGTCTATAACAACTGCAGGATGAAATACTCTGAGCACTTTGCAGAGGACTCTGTAAAGGACTCTGGGGAAAGGCTACAGGCAAAGGTGTTGGCCCATCTCCCCTCTAACACACACAGGCCACAGAGGTGGAAAGGACAAAGTAGAAAACTTGAAAAGCATAAAAGTAAAGGGAAAATGGAAGTAAAAACCATGACAGGCAGAGACAGTTTGGGTGGAGATGGAGTGCAGGCAGCAATGCTGTTGCTGTGATGGCAGCAATTAGGAGCAGAATTGTGTTGTGCTGGATATAGTGCACACTAAGGCTCTGAAAAAAATTAAGGTGTCTCTGGGTGTATAAGGATAAATAAGAGCAGCATTACTAATCAGGTTGCTACGGCTAAGTAATAGCGTCAGGGAAAAGACATAAATGAAAACAGTTCTAAGTATCAAGTGACAGTCTCCAAACTCTAGCTGTCTGCAATAAGCTCCTGCAGCATTCCTGCAGGTCAGCTTTTGAAGCAAGCCCTTGAGGATCCCTGGCCTGCCAGAAGTGCTGCCTGACAATGGGGACACGTTACTGCTTTCTCCCTGCTGCACAGTGTATGTGCTCAGCTTCAGGACTCCACTGATCTCCAGATGCTCTTCTCCTGAGTCCCCAGATCAATGGTTTGTCCTTCATTGCCAGGGTTCTGTGCTGAGAGAATACGCTTTCCGTTAACCCAGATACCACCAACTACTCAACAAAAAGTCTAGAAAGAAAT